GGCAATCCTTGATACTTATTTTTTAAATTTTATTTGTGGAGCACTTGAAACTCATCTAATCTGACTAGGTTGAAGTCTGTCAGCCGGTATTTCGAACCGGATCCTAAATTCGAACTTAGACAAAATTTTAAATTATTTAGCATGTCCGATGTATTTTTTTCAAGAATAACACAAAATGTTTTTATTTTCCTTGGGCCCCGGCCTCCGCCATGGAAGCGGTAATATCGTTCGTAATATGGAATTTTTCTCCTTCTTTCCAAATGTTACAATTAACCTTGAAAACCATTTAACCCCATCCCTTTTATAACCTGGATTGCGTTTTAAAATTATTAAATTTACAATATAAAAATTTTGTATTCCAAAAAAAAAATTAATTATATATTTTTTTCCGACTAATTACATTAAGGTTTTATGGCACGGTTAGTATATTATAAGAATTTTTTTCGATAATTAAATTTAATATTTTGGCTCTGTCTTGTAAACGTAATTAAGGGGAGAAAAATATTTGCTTTTTTGTGGGGAAAATGGATATTCTTTTCCTAATAATTTGCGAGCCTTTTTTTACGTCGAGCGTTTTGCGCTTTTCGTAATTCGTTCACGCGCGTGCACTTATGTATAGTGAAAATCATATCTTGTTATCCCTTTAAACCCTTTCAGGCATCATACTATGAATTGGAAACTGCTTACAAAATATTAAATTTAAACTCAATCTTATTTATTATTTTTAAATTTATCAATGTTATAAGTTAAAAAAGATAAGATTTTATGTTTTTAAAAGCTATTTAATTTATTTATTAATTTTGGCGATTAAAACAGATTTAATGAGGTTGAGGTTTAATCAATGCATGTTCCTTCATTTAAAAATTTTTGTCTTCTGATATGCCTAGGGGAGGTGGTATCCATATGATACCACTTATTTAAATATTTTTAAAAAATTTAAATTATATAAAACTTTTTACTATAATAAAAAAAAATTATCAATATTCTTTTTCGCGCCGAAAAGAATGTTTATGATTGGTTAAAAAAATGTTTTTAACTAAAGATACCAAAATTACGTAATAAAAATTAAATAGGTTGGATTAGTGAGATAAGATGCGAGTAGGTTTTGTCTCGCCATTTTTTGACAAAATATTTGGCTTAAAAAAATTATATTTTCAAATTTTTTCCAATGATTTGCTAATAAATGATAGGTAGTAAAGCTCTGCAAGGCGGGCTGTTAAATATTTTTGCATATGTTGCCAGGCCCGAAATTTACTAAAAGTCCGCCACGGTCCAAATCTTTTTATGCTAATTTTTCCCAATGTCAATTAAGGCTCTATCTCTCCTTCTATGGCTAACAACAACCGTTTTGTATTTTGGATCATACCATAAATAACTTGCTTAATTTACTCTATTTATTTAGATTTACTAGTATTTAATTTAGAATTAGAGCTCTTAAAATACAAAACCTATTATAATTTTAATTACCTGGCTATATTAAAATTTTACGAAAAATCAAAGATTTGCGATAATCTGAATTTTTATATATGCCCTGCCAGAATTGTCTTTTAATATACAGCTTTTTTAAAAAAAATTCCCGGCCCGACTGTGCAGATCGCTAATAGTGTGCTCCGCAACCGTCATCAGAGTATATCGCGTTGAAATAGTACCGGCGGCTGCGTATACTAGTCTCGTAGATGTTAGATCTTTCCAAAAATTCCAAATTATGGGTTGGCTAAATTTTTTTAACATTGGGCGGGTGGGATCGTGTGACACCCGCCCATTTTATCTCTCTTTTTGCTTATTTTTTTAAAAAAAATAATTTTACTTTTAGAGGGTTCGGTAAATTTAAAAATTATATTGATAAAATATTGTTTAAAAATTGGACAATTGTAGAATTTTTTTTTATTCGAATGAATAAAGATGTTTAAATGTCTTAAGTGCCTACTAGATATTATATTCTTTTGATATTTTTTTAAAAAACATATTAATATAACGTTTAGGTGACATAATTTAATCATCCATTTGAAACATGATACACATTATTCTACTAAATTGTATTTTAAAATATGATTGTTTTTTTTATATTTTATATGGGGATGGAAATGGATAATGTTTGTTATATTTATTCGAAGGAATAATTTTTATTATTATAATCCGATTATTAAATAATTTAATTTATTATTGCTTCTTTTTATGGTATCTGCATTTATAAAGTATTTTCTATCAAATCCTGTTTCCGGTCGATTTTTTTAAAAAAACAGGATGCTTAAATTTTAAACAATCCAGAACCCTATTCTTCAGATTTTTTTTCTCGCTTTCTTGTATATATGTACAAAATCTTTTTTTAACCCCGAATTCATAGCGGCGCGATTACGATAAATACAAAATATAGTAAATATCATATCGCATTCATAGTTACCGATCGCGCGATTTGAGTCGCAAAGTCTCACCGATTTTTAAAAACACAATCATTCTGTATTTGTCGTCGCGATTTTGAATATTGCCTTTGGTGAATATTGCACAAAATATTTTACATTTGGCGCTTTTAATATTATTTGTAGTGCTGTAAACATTTCTAAAAAAATCGAACGCGTTTACGTGCGCTCAAAATTTTATATATTTTTTTTAAAATATAATATTTTTTAACACATTATATTTGCCTATAGTTTTATTTTGATAATATAATTATTAATGCAATATACTATAGCGAATAAAAGATATTTTTATTTATAAAAAATTTTTCTTTTAATTTTTAATGACAATTGTTTTTCAAAATTTTCATCTGATAGACAGAAACGGTTGGCAGTTAATACGACATTAACTATATTAAAAACACGCTCTACATGGGCAGATGAGGGGATTGCGGTATTTTTAAACAACTCTTCTAACGCGGGGAATTTATTAAAACCTTTATTGTTTTGTCCTTTGCTTCAAAAAATTGAGATAAGTTAGCCTCCTCCAATCCATCCTCTACTTCCTCGTCAAAAAAAGGATATATCGAAATTAACACTTCTTGCATTATCATTTCTAGGGTTTTCAATATCGCTATAAGTTTATTAGTTTTGTTCTGTGGAAGTTTTATCCATGGCCATTGAGTGAATATTGTTTTTATAATTGCAGAAATAACATATTGATCTTCATATATATGTTCTAATCTTAAAAAAAATATATGTAATTAATTTGATAGTGATAGGTTTAATACTCGTCTATTAATGGTTAACCATATTTAGGCCACTAATTTTTTTAATTTTTAAATAACTATCTTTGTTGTTGGGGTCAAATAGCCCAAATGTATTTTTTCTTCAAATTTAATGATTTTACTTTATTGTATAAAACAAAATAATTAATATTGCATTCAAATGTCTTTTTAAATTTTAACTTGAAGAATTTGAAACTGATATAATACTTTTTGGGCACATTTTACATTTGGTAAGTAGAATTAGTTCCTTTAATATAGGATGATACTGTAAAATATTTATCATATTTGGGTCATGGTAATGTTAATTCATCTGATTTTAAATTTTCAGAATTAGAGGATGATGATGAAATAATATCCATGCTTACACTAATCTAATAAATTAAAATATGAACAATATTATTTCAAATTAATAAACTATAACAATGGCGTGTTAAAAAAATTGAAATGTGTAAAAGGATGATTAAAATATATGAGACTTTTTCTTAAAAAATTCAGATTAATATTAAATTTTTCAAATAAATAAGAATAAAATGTGTTTTTAAAATTGAACGAACGTTAAATTCGAACGCGTTTGTTTATAACACTAATTATTTGAAATTAATTTTAGATCCATGGCTTCATTTTGAAGATATAAAGCAGTGTAATCAAGTTAAAATTATTATTTAAATTATAATCTTTTTATAGAAAATAGATAAAATTGCATTTATTAATTTAAAAATTACCAGTGCTTATATAATAAGCAAAATAACTTATCAAAAATATTATATATAAAAATAAAATATGGAGTTTATTAGCTCAGGAATATTTTATGCCCGGTAAAAATTGCGCATATATATTATATTTAAATATCATTTTAGTATCCTATCTTAAAACTCTCTGGAAAAATTTAAGGGATTGTTTCATGAGAGAGAGACTCAAGCTGACCAATCCTCAGGTACAGGAAGGTCATGGATAAAATGGTGAGAATATAGGTTAAGGTTAGTATGCCGATATTAAATATAAGATAGGGCGATCCATATTATCACCCGGCACACAATTTATTTTAAAAGCGTGATTATTATTTCAAAACTGAACAATTTTTACGATTTTACAAGCACGTTTTTCACCCATTACTTATTAACCCTCATTAGTAAGAAGGTTTCGGAACAGCTTTTCAATTTGTAGTTAGAAGCAGAGCTGGTAACCTGAACCAACTCCTTTTAACCACGAACCTTTTTTTTCAATTTAGGGTTCAGGATTCAAAATTTTTTTAAAATATATTCTTTTAAATTATAAAATATTTTTTTTCATTATTAAAAACATTTTTCGTGGAATCGTTTTTTATTTTAATATATCCATTTTACGTGAATTAAAATTTTTCTGGACACCGAGCCCTGAACATAATCCAGAGTTTTTTCACTAAAAACGAATCTGAATCCTTTTTTTAGAAGAGGATTCTCAGTCCTGGTTAGAAGTAACATTTTTGCTATTTTTACTAAAATGGTATTTCCCCCTTATTCAGGTAAAACCATTGAAGGCCATTACTTAATCATTTCTCTATGCATTTTATAAATTGAATATATGCAGCATAGCTCATGTAATACGAGGAAAATATTTTTTCAGATCGAACTATGTTTATATTCAATAGTTGAAAAATATCTTAATCGCTATTGCGAGTTTTCTTATAATTTCCCCTTATCTAAATGAACGTGAAATTTATATATTGTCACTACTATTCATTGGTTGATTGATTAAATGCTATTTGTCAATTAGGTTGCATTAATTTTATTTGCAATTTTGATATTAACTAGATTCTGTATTTAATCATATATTTTTTTAGACCGTTCAATTCGTGCAGGGCATATTTGTAGAAAAGTATGATCCCACTATCGAGGATAGCTATAGGAAGCAGGTCGAAGTCGAGGGCCAACAATGCATGTTGGAAATCCTGGATACAGCTGGTATATTATAGTATTTACTCCATTTGTTTATATGTTAGAGCCTAACAGCTTCCGGCATAAAATACATACAATCAATGACATTAATACTAACTTGAACTGATGATTCATTTATTAGAGGTGTACCTTCATTGAAGTCAGCTGTGGTGATTGTCATTGGCTGTCGTATACGCCAGGGAAGGACATTGTCTGCCCTTCAATGGCGAACTTTATAATTTATGTACATTTTACCGAATGAATATTTATTGTATTGCATACAATAAATGTAAGAAATACAATTTTTGAACTGAGCCACTAGGCGATCGCACTAATTCACTGTATAGTCCGACTAATTGACAGCTGACAATGTCAACATATTGTGTTTTTTTCGTGTTTAAAATTTCAAGTTCCGTCAAAATAATATAAAGAATTTGGACTTTGACCGAAAAAAGATTGAGGAACTCTACAAAATTATGTCTTCTTAGAATCGATTTTTAATTATATTTAATTTTTGCGCTATAAGATCTTCTTTATCTCTTTGTCATTTGTAGAATGTTTTCTAACTACAATTTATCTTTCATACATTAACATCTGTTAGCTTTAATCTTAAACTTTTTTACCCTCCTTTTCCCTTTCAACAAAAAATTTACATTTAAAAATGATTATAAAACAATAATGATTTCAAAATGGTTAACTATAAACTTGTTCAATAAAAGCAAAAGATTTCCAAGAATTGCGGTTTTTACTGGAATTGTCTGTTTAATAAAAAATTGGAATAGACAGTATTTTAATGCACTCGACTTTATTGTTTAATATTTTTACAATTTTTTCCTTAATCGTTGGATTAATGAGGGTATCCGATTCTCATTTTTCCACCGATCCGATACTTAAAATATTTTTTAAATCCGATATTAAATATTTTTTTAAAACCTATCCAATAACAGACCCGATATTTTAAATTTAAAGATTGGCTGCTCGTTTAATGTTTATTAATTCTATTCTAACTTTTGGATTTTATTTTTTAAAAGAAAGTATATAATGAGAATATTAATATACTCCCTTCTCAATTTCTAGTAGTTGTTATAATAATCACTTGTGTGTTCTAAACATTTATGTTAGAAGATAACATTAAATTAGAATTCATTTCAGATAATTATTAATTTAGCAATCTTACAGCAAATTTCATGAATAATTTATTAATAAAAATAAGAAAAGTTCCGGATATAAAAATATATTCTATTATACCACTGATTTCATTTTTTTTAAAAAAAATTGTATCAGTTTTTAAACAATATCGGGCCAATCAGATTTTCTCGAAAATGACGAATTAGCTACCGATCTTCGAACAGCCATAGAGTTTACTAAAAGACCCCATCCCACCCTTTTTTGAAAAGCTTGATTTTTCGTATCTTATTTTCTTTGCTCTTGATCGTCTGCTTTTCAAAAAGAACGTCTATATAATGGTGCGTACAAACAAGTGCATCCCTTGTTTAATTTAAGGTTGCCTTTATCGTCCATTCAAAATTTTATTTAATTTCTGAATAAGAATTTATCTTTAAAAATTATATTATCGTCTGCCTTTCGTGCCCCACTTTTTCCTTATGAGTAAAAAAAATTTTTTTTTCTTAAAACAGTTAAACAAGACAACACTTTTTCAACGTTTTTTATTAACTAAGTATATATATTTATACATAGAATTATGAAATGTTGCCATTTTTTCTCAATGGGATATTCATATGTAAAAAAAATATACAATTTATTTTGAATGATAATGAATAAAACAATTGCGATTTTTATTTAAACATAGAGATATTTTATACATTCGAATCTGAAATAATTATTGATGCAGCTTTTGGATCTTTGCCTACTAGCAGCCTATGGCTAATGCCCTGTTTTATCAAATCTAATATGATTGGATAAAAACTATTCAATTTCCTTATTTTTTTTAATCGTCGAAATAGGCCTACCTTCTATTATTTTCCTTTCTAACCATCATCAATCATTTAGCTATCTGAACTATAAATACTAAAAGCATATCTACTTTTTTTCTGTTTCATTTGGCGCCTATAGTGCAACCATGAATCACTAGGGAAATTAATAAATGAAAGAATCGCATAAAACGCCTCCATTTTATGTCAGTTTGTAGAGTTCAATCAACATACCACGGAGATCCACCCCGCCCATACAACTGTTATAGTCTTGTATTATGGTCGGATTTTCCACATTGATATCGGTTAATGATCATCTTGTTCCTGGTTTTGAATTTATACTCATAAATGATGATATAGTGATAACCGATTTGTTATCAACCCATTTGCAAATTATAATATTATTAGAATCCACCTTACAATGAACCCTCTTCCTTTTTTAAGGATTTGTCACCAACCAGATGGCATCCCGGTAATAGATTAGATCTAAGGGTCATCTACATGATAAAGCCATTATATTTGAGAACAACAGCTAAATTATACTATAAAAAAATTATCCTTATTAATTTTAGGATTTTTATGTGGGGGATAGTTTCTATTTGTGGTTTTTCCTAAATATGTCTCCAGATCCACATGAAGCGAAAATTTTTATTTACCATTTATGCAATTTTGAGCATATATTGCCAAAGAATTATTATTTACCATTTATGCAATTTTGAGCATATATTGCCAAAGAATTATTATTTACTATCATAAATGTGAAAATGTTTTCTTAATTCCAAGAGTCTATTTTTTTTATACATTGAGAAACTTAAGGAATCACTGTCTCTGGAGCTCAATAGTGCTTTTTGGCCAATAGTACAAACTGACAACTAACCTTCTAAAATTTAATAATATATTTTTTTAAACTGACAAGAAGAATTTTTCTTTAAATTAATTCTAAATGATAAATATAATAGTAAACGTTATTACTTATAATTGATATTTTTGTGTGGATCTTTTAGTGTAGCTTAATATTTTTAGGTAAATTACATTTCTCCAATTTTTATTTTATAAGGGTTTTATTTTAGCTTAGGCTTTAGACCCCACTTAATCATGCCCAGCTAGTCTTTCATGTCATTTTTTCACCTGTACTATAAAGAGTTAAATACTGAACCTTTTAAATAAATTGGTATTGATTGATAATCGATAAATACTTTTATTTAATGAATTTTTAGTAAAATAATACATAATAATATATAACAGTGTTTAGGAATAAAAACTTTATATATATAAATGATGTTAATATATTATTTAAACGATAAAAGTGTTGTTAGGCTCGTTTTGAGCCGATTTTTAAAAATGGCTAACTAATATTTTAGCAAGAAAAATATTGCCTAAGCCTCAAGATTTCGATAATATGTATCTATACCTTCGTTCCTTCTATGAGCAAAATCCTCAGGCTTAGGTAATATTTTTCTGGATGAAGTATTAAGTTAGCCGTTTTTAGAGATCGGCTCAAAATGAGCCGTTTAACAACACTAGATAAAATTAGACAATAGTTGACTAGATACTTTTATAGTAATCATATGTCTCAGACATAAAACTTTATGTGTATAAATGAATTCATAATATATTATTTACATGATAAAACTAGACTATGATGATAATTTATATTCCTCATAGATTCAACCAAAAGTTTCTTTATTTCAGGAATAATAAATAATGGGTCGAAGAGAAGTCATTTGTCATTAAAAAACAGAGACATTTGTTTGAAGCAACATAGGTGCACAGGAAATTTTAATATATGTGGCCCACGTGTCTGCAGCCCATTTTATTTTTCACAATGTAATAAACAATCCAACTTCTTTGCTGTATTTTTAGGGGATAACACAGCGAATTTCATTGTTAAAAATAAAATGAGTTGCAATGGCATGTGGGCCACAGATATTGAAATTTCCTGGCTACATTACAAATGGCTTCTCTTTGACCTACTATTTATTTCTAAAATAAAGAAATCTTTTGGTTCTATCTTTATAAGAAATATAAATTATCATTAGTCTAGTTTTATCATATGTAGTATATTAGCTTCATTTATATGCATAAAGTTTCTATTACTTAAACTGTTTAAAATTCATTAAATAAAAGTATTTATCGATTATCAATCAGTATCAATTTATTAAAAGAATGTATATTGCGTAACTCTTCACAGGTGACTCACATGAAAGACTAGCTGAGCATGATTAGATGGGGTCTATGCAATACCAAGCTAAAAAAACGGTTATAACATGAATTATCAAAGAAAATTAAAATTAATTTTGTATATTTACTTTACCTTCAAATATTAATCTACTAATAACTTTTATATGACTCGGTTCTGTATAACCGCCCCCCCCAGTGCTATGAAGGACTGTGACGTATTTTTTCTTATCAGTTTTGACTGTTGGTCATAGATTAAATGTAAATATCAGTATTTATCAATGTGTAATGGCTAATGGAGCTCTACATTTTTATCATATATAACCCTTTCTTGCCCGGCATATTTCCCGTGAACAAAAAAATTTGTCTTCTAAAATTGAGTTAAACAAGACGTAAATAACACATTTTCAACGTTTTTTTAGTAAAAAAAGTGTATATATAGAATTATAAGTGCTATTTGTCATCATTGGGATATTAATATGTAAAAAATACACCATTTATTTTAAATGATAAGAAATAAAACAATTTTGATTTTTATTTAAACAAGATATTTTACATTTTATACATTCGAATCTGGAATAACCATTTGTGCAGTTTTTGCATCTTTGCCTGCTAGCCGCCAATGGCCAATACCCTATTTTATCAAATCTAATATCTGTGATTAGATGAAAACTATTCAATTTCCTTCTTTTTTTCAGTCTTCAAAGTAGGTTTACCTTCTTTTCTATCTTTTCCTTTCCAACCATCATCAATCCTTTAGTTATCTGAGCTTTAAATACTAAAAGGGATACATGTTTACTATATTTCTGTTTCATGTGGCGTCTATAGAGCAACCATGAATCCACTACACAGGAATCTAATAAATGAAAGAAAACTCGCATATAAAAACGCTTCCATTTTATATCAGTTCTGTAGAGTTCCAACATATCATGGAGATCCACCGCGCCCATACCACCGTTATAGTTTTGAATTATGGCCGGAATTTCGACATTGAGAAAAGATTTATCAGATACCGACCATCTTCTCGTTCGTAATATGGGATTTATGCCCTAAATGATGATAGTTTGATAACCGATTTGTTATCAATCCTTTTGCAAATTATAATATTATTATTAAAATCTACCTTATAATCAAATCATGCCACCCCCCATCAGCGGGAGACTCACGCTATTTTTTAGTTTACACACAGATATCTCACTCCCGCAAAACTACCGCAATTGGAAATCTCCACAAAAATCTACCACAATTTTTTTAGCATTTTAGTATTTTTAATAAAAATATAAATAATAATTTTGAGAGACAGTAATTTATTATTTTTAAAATAAATTTTAAATATTTATTCGAAAAACCTGTCTAGTTTGTAAATATCTAGATATCCTGTTTTATTTTTGTCCATTAATAAATCAACATCCTTTTATTCATATTTTATCATTTTCAGTGTGTTTATATATAACTTTATCTTTCAGGTTAAATTAAATACAACTGATAATTATTTTATTTATTATGGTCAGTCACATTATTATAATATAACCAGTTATTTAAAACAGCTGTGTGAATATTTTAGAATTGTAGATGAAAAAGAAACAATCATTAATAAATTCTTATTTCAAGTTCAATAAATGTCATGTAACATCGCAACCTCCTACTACTGCATCAGAAATTCCTGAACTGATTTTGCTCATCATAGTTAAATTACTATTTTTATGTTTTATTTAGTGAGGAAATAATTTTTTAAGATTTTAACCCTTCAATACTTATGTGAAAAAAATGACATTAGTATAAAGTACTCTGGTGGGTTTTATTAATTTCTAATGTATATATCTCCAGTTATATTCATTATTTTGATTTAATATTTGGATATAAGATGAAACTAACCTTTAATTTTAGCTATTTTTATTAGGAGTATAATTTTAATTTAATTTTCTAAAATAAGTTCCATTGCTAATTTTTTAATGAAATTACTTCTAGTAATAATTTTTTTTTGTGTTTGCAGAATTAAGATGTTATGTTAAGAAGTATAAATATTATTGAACTAATCAAATAAAATATCAAAAATGTTTTGAAGTTTTTATTGAAAATAATTATTTTATCTAAATATTTAATTAATACATACATGCTTTATTCTAATAATTTTTGAATAAGCATATAAAGATTAGGATATGTTTTTAGTTCTTATAAATCATTTTTTTAAATAAAATAGCACATTGACAATAATTTTTGATTTAAATATCCATACAAAATTGATTATCTTTTTATATTTTATATACTTTAGAATCCGAGAAGAATGATAAAGATAGGAAAAAGAAAAGAAAATATTGTTGTAAATATGACAAGTTATGGAAGCTAAAATATATTTGGTTGATGAAGCTAACAGAGAGCCAAGCCAAATGTAGAATATGATCTACTGTATTTAATTACTAGTGGGGAGAATATTACATTTTGCGGCATCAAAAATCAAAAATGCTTTAGTCAGTACAGGATAATATATCAACATCGAAGATCTGCAAAGTTAGGCCCGGCCCGCCTTTCTTTTTTTCGCTCGGGCCTAATTTTATTTTAAATAATTGGGTTCGGGCCGGGCCTAATATTTTTAAAAAAATTCAGGCCGGGTCGGATCGGACCTTGGAATTTTTTTTAAATATATCTAAATTTATCAATTTTATATTGAATTATTTATGTAAAATAAAAAATTTTGATTTTATTTATTGAAGCTAAACGCTACATAACATGTCTTTTATTTTGAGTAATTATAAAAATTAATTTCTATATTTGAATAAATTCAGGCCGGGCCGCTAAATTTTTTTAAAAAATATTCGGACCGGGCCGGCAAATCTTTTTAAAAAAATTTCGGGCTTGGCTTGAAAAATTAGGCCCGGTGCAGATCACTAAGATCGATTGCGATACAAAAATATTCTCCAAAAATAATAAATAATACAGATGCAACTACAGTTCCGGAAATCGTCGTTAAAACATTTCATCACAATTATTTCGACATCTACAGATAGTACAATCATTGCCCTCTTGCAAGAATTATGCAGTATATGGCACATGCAGCAAATTGTTATTAATTCATTATTGTGCTTCCTCAATTCGGTAAATACACTTTGGTTTTTGCCAAAATTCATAGAGGCATTATCAGCGCAGAAAGCTGAATGCAACTCATTGATAACCCTGAATCAGCTAAATTTACCATTATGTGGTTAGCTATATCGTTGAATTTTTCACTCTCCGAGGGAAAATTTTTTAATGACGCAAAATGTCATTTTATCCCCCACTGCTGTAATTAAATAATGTAGAGCATTTAGCATGCCTGTCCGTTAACTTCATCAACCAAATAAATTTATGCTCCCATGACTTGTTATATTTACAAGAATATTTTCTTTTTCCTATCTTTATCATTCTTCTCGGATTCTAAAGTATATAAAATATAAAAAGATAATCAATTTTGTTTGGATATTTAATCAAAAATTATTTTGTCAATGTGCTATTCTATTAAAAAATGATTTATAAGAACAAAAAACATATCCTAATCTTTATGAATAATTTCAAAAATTATTAGAAATCTATACTATTTTCAGAAAAATTATCAGTTTCATTCTAATCTGATATCGATGGCGAATATGTAGGTGATTTACGCTTTTCAGCTTCTATTCCTATATATTTGTTTTAAATTGTAAATTTAGATTATTTGTCATTAATTTTAAAAGGTTATTTCTTAATTAGTATAGATATATAAAAAGATATTCTTTAAATACTAAACAATTTTCAAATAAATACTGTACAATACAATTTTACTGGTTAATAATTTATAAATACTGCCCAAATTGTTTATTTTATAGTTTAAGAATATTTGTGATTTCTTATAAAATTTAAAAAAAAATAATTCCTCACTAAATAACAAAACATAATAGAAATTTATACCATGAGCATAAGGTTCAGGAAGATTCTCTGAACTAGCTGCTGTTGTAGTAAATAGTATATGGTAGTAGATGTGATGTTGCTTGTTGGACAATAAAATAAGTATGTTTTAATTAAATATTTAGATATATAAACTGCAATCTTAAAACATTTTTGATATTTTATTTGATTAGTTCTAGAATATTTGTACTTCTTAAAATAACATCCATTAATTCTCATATTATATATACAGCAAACACATAAAATCTATTACTTAAAGTTATTTCATTAAAAAATTAGCAATGGAACTTATTTTAGAAAATTAAATTATAATATCCTCATCATCTTTAATCTAAGCTTAAGAAATAAAAATAACTAAATATTATAACAAGTTTAAGGTTAGTTTATATATCCAAATATTAAATCATAATGAATATAACTGGAGATATACACATTAGAAATTAATAAAACCCACCTGAGTACTTCTAACGTCATTTTTTTCACCTAAGTATTGAAGGGCTAAATTTTTAGAAAATTATTTCCTCACTAAATATTACATAATAGAAATTTTCTAACTATGATGAGCAGAATCAGTTTGGGGAATTTCTGATGCAGTAATAGGAGGTTACAATGTTACTTGTCATTTTATGATCTTGAAATAGGGATTTATGAAAGATTGTTTCTTTTTCATCTACAATTATAAAATATTCACAGCTGTTTTAAATAACTGGTTATATTATAATAATATGATTGAACTATTATAAATAAAATAATTATCAGTTATGTATTTAATAAATTATAAAATATGAATAAAATGATGTTGATTTATTATTGGATAAAAATAACAGAATAAATAAAACAATTGCTATTTTTATTTAAACATAGTGATATTTTACATTTAATGAATTCAAATCTGGAATAACCATTTGGGCTGTTCTTGCATCTTTGCCTGATAGCCACCGATGGCCAATGCCCTGTTTTATTAATCCTAATATCTGTGATAAAATGAAAACTATTCAATTTTCTTTTTTTCAATCAATTTGCACTATGCTATTTGAAACGCTCAATTTTGCATGCAGTCTGTTTATATATTAATATGGTTTTAAATATTTCATTTTAAAAGATAAGTATTTATTTATTAAATCTTATTTACCCCCCCCACCCACCCACTTGGCTTATTTCACATGTGTTTCACTTGTTAAAAAAATAAATAAAAATTGCATTTTTCCCCCTTTTAAATCACAGGTACCGAACAATTTACGGCTATGAGAGACTTGTACATGAAAAACGGTCAAGGTTTTGTTCTCGTTTATTCCGTCACCGCCCAGTCCACGTTCAACGATTTAGAAGACCTTAGGGAGCAAATACTCAGGGTCAAGGATACTGAAGATGTTCATATATTTACTTTTATTTTTTACAATTTTTCTCTATACATTTGTGTGGCAGGTTATTGTCCAATATTTTAACTATTTGTATATATAAGTTACTTAATCCTTGCCAGAGGTCGGCGCAACCCGAACCCCCTGTCGGGCAAAAAAATCATGTTAGGTGATAATAATTACGGGTCGAACTAAAATATCCGATAGAAAACTTTCTCTGTTTTCTTTAAACTTTACTACGCTATTCAACACCGTTTGCATTTTTTTCTCGAGAGGATCTGTATTTGATTAATTTATCGGTGCATTCTGGCTTCCGTAATCCTAAAATTCCCCATTTTTTTTATTTGTCACTAGATACTGCTAAGTAAAAACATTGAGAAAAGATTTTATAAGGAAGTTATTAAAACATTGCCACGAATTATAAGGGTCTAAGCCTATCGGTCTTAGAGTGTAATAGGGTGGACCTGCCTTTGGATAGGTTAAATAATCGACGTAACCCTGCCTTTCATATTTACAGCATATTTTGTTTACTTCACCAAAAATTCGCGTTAACTGTGTATGCAGAGTAACCTCTCAATTACAGTTAGCGGGAATACATGGCTGAGGGTGTAATAATGAGGAAGTAAAGCTCTAAATTTCTTGAGAACTTTTTTAACCTTAAATCCACAGAAATTTCTAATTAGAAAATTGCATACTTTTACTTTTAATATTTCATTTAAATATGAATTAAAGGTTCCCATGATATTAGTAGGCAACAAGTGCGATCTAGAGGACGAGAGGGTTGTCGGGCGGGAACAGGGTCAAAGTTTGGCTAAAAGATTCGGTAATTGCGCTTTCCTCGAGTCCTCGGCTAAATCCAAAATCAACGTCAACGAAGTAATGGAAATAAATATTTTTATATAATTGGACTTTAATTGATTGGCAGCTGTATTGAAATGGCCAATTATAAAAATAATGGGATTTTAATATATGTGATGTTGCAATTAATTTAAGTATAAAAATTCAATCGTTAAAATTATGATCCAATCTGACTTAACGCCATGCTTGACCCGCAGGTTAAATTTAGATAGGTTTTAAAGAAAGATATTAAATAAATGAATAATGATTTGGCAGGTCTGTGACTAGTCATAGTTTTTACAAGTTTCCTTTTTTATATTTAACAGGAGAGGGCAAATGGTATAAACCAATTATTAGTGTTGTTAGAATCGATTTTTTTTAAATGGCCTAAAGCAAGATCTCCTGGCTTACGTAATAATTATTTTAATTAAAATATTAATCGGGCCATTTTTTAAAAATCGACTTAAATCGCCGTTTAACAACATTACCAAGGATATTATAGTCTCTAAATTTGCAGACTTCCTTTAAAGAAATGTTTACCCTCCTTTTTGACCATTATTAATTATGTATGGTGCCGAACATTTTTAATATCTATTCATAAGGGTGTGCCTATACCACTCTTTGGGAACCTATCCGTATGACCGATATTAAATTGATATCGGCCGATTACTGATCCGATTTTTTTATTCTTGTAAACATACTACATTACATCTACACATCTCATATACTAGTAGAACATCTATAATTTAACTATACCGTTAATATAAGTCATTTAAAATATTATAATGATCAGTTATAGTTTATATTCATGAATCTAAAAGTATATAAAATATTTTTCACTTATATAATAACATTTAATCTATGTACATAATAAATAAATATACAAATATATTATGAAATTTGAAATAAATTTTTTTAAAAAATTAAGATGGCCATTTTATCAGGTCCGAAAATTTTATAATATCGGCCAATCGATATCTTAAAAAACAAGAAATTTTTGCCTGACCTGATAAAAGATATCGGTAGATCCCTATCCATTTATTTTTGTAGATTTTCTAAAAAAATAAGTTCACAAAAAGTGTCTTCTTTTTTTTATGTTACGAATTTGCTTAATTATGTTTATTTTTCGCACAGATATTTTACGATTTAGTGAGGCAAATTAACAGGAAACACCCCGAACAAACCAAAAAACGTGTCAAAAAGCGGTCACTCTGTCAAATTTTATGAGGAACTCGATTATACGTCGAAATTAGATAAATATTAATTTAAGCACGAGAATAGCGGGTGAAAAAAAATAATTCTTATAAAAATTGTAATAAATGATTTGAATGTTTTTTTTTAAGTTTAAATATTTGAAAAGTAGCCTAACGTATAAAGGAGCTTATATTTTATTTTGGTCCATTATTTAAAAAAGTATACATTTGTACTATAATTAAATAATCTTATTTTTTTTTGTATTATACATATTTTTCTCGTGGTTTTTATATAAAAATATCATATCCCCCCTCAGTATAATAATTGATATGTTTTACCCCATTTTTTTTAGATCGAATTAAATCCCCAAGTCAAGTATACATCTGTCCTGAATGCTCAATTTTTATTTGTTCTCTCCAAAAAAAATAAAATAATTATAAACAATTTTCAACGCAATTAGACCTATTTAAGTACAAACAAAGATATCTCGCTCTTATACCAAATAATTTCCTTATAATAATATAATATCATTTTTTTACACGACTCTATAGTTTATATTATTTATTTATGCTTATTTTATCGGAATAAGGTCTAATTAAACAAGCTGATTAAAAAAAAAACAACTTTTCTTTGATAATAAAGTGTGCTAAGATACCAGCTGTCTAACAAACAATTTTCGACAGGATGTGCATCCTGTAACATTGCTCCAGGAGTAAAGTTGAAAATGAAGCAGCTTTATTCGTTAACGTAAACACTTCTTTTAAGTTAGTCAATTTTTCGTGGTTTAAAAATATAAATTATTTTACTACTTTTTTCCTCCTTTTTTGCGAATTAAGTAACTAAAATGTGCATCTCACCACCATACTTTTATACTTACATATTATTATTTATTTTTTTTAGAACAAACATTTTTATACATTTTTTCGTTTGTTAATTTTTATTCAAACTTGAGCTAAATTCTTGGTGTAAGAAAAAGGCTGAGAAATTAAGATATCATGATTTCTATTTTCTCTATTCTTCTTTGTTAGAATTTTACTTTCCCATATATAAGAGGGGGGGGTGGTTGGTTATGTCTTCAGAAGTTATTATAATTTTGCGAAATTTTAATGCTTGCAAAGAAAGGCTAAGTAGTATTTAATTTTTTAAAAACCCCAAATATTAACCTGAACAAAAGAAAATTTTTAGAAGATATTTTATATATATATATTTAAATTCTTTATTATTTGAATTATTATTATTTAATCCTTTTCACAAACAGAATCATCGATTATTATTTTAATTTTTAATTATAACCCTTCCCCCTCCCCCTTTTTATATCCAATCATGTAAGAATATTTATTATACCCATGACAAAAAAAAGAAAACATTATTGTATAATTTAATAAAAAAAATATAATAAATAATAAAATTCGAATTTAAAAATTAATGCCTGGATTAGTTTGGATGTTTTTAAAAAAAAAAATTGAGAAGTTAAATGTAATAAGCGAATATTCTTTCTACCCTCCTCGAGGTTTAAAATAGATATGCATTATAATTACTCTTCAGTTACAAATTACTGATCAACAAAATGAATCATTTACCGATGAAGATTAATATAAATTTATTTTATAAAAAATATATTATAAGTATATTGGTTAAGAAATAATATTATTCTTCGTTTAATGAATCCTTTTCCTTAGAGGAGGTATATTTACGGCATATATTTCTAAAAGGATATAATTCTATGACGTTATAGATTGCTTTTGTAAACTCGTATTAATTAGGAAAATTTTTAAATTTAAATTAGAATGAGATTTAATAGCAAACATACGATCTAAAAAAACAAATATACTTATTGTAAGGTCCTATTAATGTTAAAAGTTGCTTTTCTAAAAAAATACATTTTTAGAAAGTAACTTGATTCAGTTACTTTTAAATGTGCCTAAAAGATGTGCTTGTTTTTCCCCACTTTCTACAGTAAGTGAGACATAAATAATATGCCTATAAAGATTATTAATGAGATGTATATGGTGATTATGCTGAGATATTTTTAGTTGAAAGTAATATCAAAAACAAATAAAGGAGGACCCAAAAAAAATACATGATAATAATATATTATTTTTAAAATATAAGATTTTTTTAATGAATGAGAAGTAGAGATCTGCAAGGGCCGGGCTGGGCCTTAAAATTTTTTTAAAAATATATCTTAAATTTATCAATTTTACGTTAATTTTTTGTGTAAAATAAAATATGTGATTTCATTTATAGAAACTAGATGCCATATAATATCGTTTATTTTGAGTATTTATAAAATTAATTTCTATATTTAAATAAATTTGGGCCGGGCTGGCAAAATTTTTTAAAAAAAATTTGGGGTTCGGGCCTGGCAAAACTTTATAAAATAAATTTCGGCCTGGACCGGGCTTGAAAAATTAGGCCCGATGCAGATCACTATTGAGAAGGATGAAACTGATCTAAGACATAAATTGGAATTGAAAAAAAAATTCACTATTTAGGGAGATATTCTCTTTTTTTGTTAAATTAATAATTGCGAACAACATCTAAATTGATATGTTAAGGGTAAAAATCTCGAATTAGCCAAACAAATATTACCTAAAGACTCCAGATTTTGCCGAAAGAGTCAAATTTCTTTGAGGTTTTTAAAAAAATGAATTCTCAAACATTTTATAATTCTATTCATGACTGATTCTTAAAGTGTTTTTTTTAACCATATAAATAAAATTTAAATCAAAATGCTATATAATTATAAATAATTAATACATTATAAACTAATATTATTTCATATGAAATGTGAACATTCTGATGTTTTTAAAAAAACGATGGTTTTATATCAATATATGGATAATAATGATAATATAAATTTAACACGAGAATGGTTCAATGATATTATCTAGTCTTCATACAAGATTCCTCTGTCAATTTCCTCATCTATTTTCCTCCTATCTGGTGGTCGCCGGAGTCTAATCAATACCCCAGTGACAATTTCCCTCAATGCCTGTATATCGGGGTTGCTTGTAGTCACGGATACATTTATTTGGCCATCTGGTCCCAACGGATTTTTTTTCGTATCGTAATGCACGTGGTTTGCGCTTACGTGGACGCTTGCGTGGACATTGGCTTTTATATTGTTGTTGTAATAAATGATATTGGTGCCATTTTTAAGGATGCCTCTAGGGTCGGAAAATTTCATTTTTTTGCCGTTGGCGCTTAAGATCTCGCTATTGACGACCCTGACAACATTTCCGGATGAATTACCAATTTGCTGCCCATTCACGTGTTGAATGTATAGGATTGTGATTGCTTCGCGAAATGAAAAACAAATATGGTGGTTAAGCTTTATGCCGTGTCCTGTTTCGTCTTATTTATGAAACTTAAATCTGTTTAACCCAGGTTAAATAGATTTTGAACTAATTGGCTTCTTTTAATTATTTGCATATTAAATAAATATTTTGGTTTCTAAAGTAGCGTAGAGACACTCAACCTACGTAAATAGCCTCTTTCTTTTTAGGCTCTTTAGGGAAAGCTTTAGACACGGCTTAAACAGACTGCTTTTGAGAAATAAGACAAACCAGCACACGGCCTATTATTTTTCCCGATATCTCTTTTTAAAACTATTTTTATTATTTAAGGATTCTTATAATCGGAATCCCCTTTTAAAATTACCAAGAAACCAGAAATTGAACCTATTCTAACAAAATAATTTATATACAATATTGTTTTCTAAAAAGTACATCTACTTAGTGATTCATTTTGTTTAGAAAGTTTAATTAGTGTAGTAAAATCCAATCAGGTAGGTCCAGACTATCCCACAGTCCAAAATTAAATTTTATAATCCGATTTTGTCAACCAATTTGTTCAGTCCCAACCGGTTTGGTTGACCTTCGCCGGTTCACACTACATATATACGCGGAAGAAAATTCGATGAGTATTGAGGCGCGCGATAATTCATTTCTGCATCAAATTTGAGTTATATACTATTTTTTTATAGGAAAACCCGAGGCTTAAGGTGATGGTTTTAGACTAAAAACTAGTCATTTCCCATTTATTTTTTAACGGTCTAAAAATAAGTTTGTTAAAAAATAGAGAAATTAAGCCAAACTTAAATATTATTTTTTTATATAGAGTTCATTTTTTTAAAAAAGAAAGAAAGATAGGAAAAATAAATATGCAGAATCGGAACGAACTATTTTTTTGGTTCGGCAACTATACTCAGGATTTAGGATTCTCAGATATATGATAGAATTATAATTTCTCTCACGCTTTCAGATATTTTTTTAAAAAAAATTTTGGTCTCCTGATAGAGATACATTTTAAACGGAACCAGGGCCGTGAGAAGTGTTTAGAGGTTTAAACTCTAAATTAGAGAAATTTGATAAAAGGATATATGTGTTGTTCGTAAATCGATGCCTGTTTTGGTTCGTGGTTTTAAAATGGCTAACCAAACAATTTTAAATCTCTAAACCCTATTTTGGATTCACAGCACTAGTTATAATTTATAAATGCTTAAAGGAAATATGAGTCTTACTATATAGTACCAGCAAAAGAGTGACCGTGTCCCGATTTCGTGATGAAACGTCCTTTTTGAATATAATTATAAAAAACAAAAAAATAAATTTTCCTTTATTCATTCCTTCTTTCCTTTCTTCCTTCCTTCCTTTCCTTTCATTTCTTTCTTTTCTAAAAAAATCAATTTTATCTTTAAATAAATGTTTTATAATTATTAATTTAAAGGAAAAGTAAAAAAGTAAACATTCGAAAAATTTTATAATTCATATCATTTCTTTTATTTTTTTGAAAAAAAACCCTTATAATATGACCCAAGCCTAACTCCTTCAAATTTTATAACAGGAAGAATCAACCCAAATCCCTCCCTCATATCGAGATAGCAAATACATATGGAATGGATTGAAACGAACCTGATTTCATCTTTTAGCAGAAAGATTAAAAGCTCTCTATAGGTTTCAACACTGATGAAACATAATTCAACCCCCCCCCCCTTCCCCCGTTATTCAAGGCTTAGGTACAAGAGCTCCTCTAGTAAGCCCAAAAAGTGCCGATATTCCATGCTTCTTAGAGCCCAACTAATGGAAAGGGCCAATAGTTTGGCCCGTATATCGTGGAAGAAATAATCATCAAAAAACTTAAAACATGTGCATTATATCACAAATAAAATTATATTTAAATAGAAGAAGACTTTTACATGAGTGCCATTTTATTTACAGGAAATAAATGTAAATGAACCGAAGAAGATGATAAAAATAGAATTATTTTATAAAAAAAATTAATTACCATATGAATCTGAAGAATCATCGAGAATTTATAAGGAAAAAATACTCGAAAGTGTGTAGAATTATAATATCAAATTTTTAAAATAAATAGATGAGTTTATTTGGAATTTCAAAAAATATAATATTTTATATACCGTTCTACGCCCTTGAAAATTTTGGTCACAATTTTACAAAGTATATAAAATTTTAATTTTAAAAATATGCTTATCAATCATAAAAATGAATTATTAGTTTATGAATAAATTTTTGGGAGCAATATATATTTTTTTAAATTGCTTGGCTCATTCCCGTTAACTTAAAAAACTAAATTATAATCCATAATTTTATTTTAAAATTTAATTATTATTAATATTATTATAGGTGAAAATAAATATATTTTTTCTTAAGTTAATTTATTTTCTTTAAATTCATAATACCATGAATGGTTGAGGAAATTGGTAAAATTATGTGCATAATAGTCTGCTTGCATTATTATAGAAATGAAATGGGAGGGAGCGGCGAACCCTCCAACGAATCGACGATAGGCGCGATGTCCTTCCCCGGGCGATTGGCCCCTGAGGAAAACCTGAGACTGTAGAGGGATTGTCTATTCTTCTCTCCTGGATTCCTGAATCTTTGAACATAAGGGATACGATGTCGGATGTTGATTCAGGTTGTTGACTGGCAACGGGACATCCGATGAAAACGAAGGTATTTAGGTGTCGTTGTTGTTGGGAGCATTGGATTCCTGCCCATCTCCAGGAGAAAACAACTGTCGCCTCAGTTCCCTAAGGTATTTGTTTCCCCTATTTAGCCAATCTTGGTACTGAGTTGTTTCTCCTTTTCGTACTGGCGGGCCGTAGTTCTGCACTCGGGCACCTTCTTTCCCGGGTCTTATAGCCCTAAAAAGAGCTGTTTGTTTATTGGCCCTGAACCTTTCGGTATTAGAAAGAGTAGAATATAGTGTGTTAGAAAGAGAATGAAGAGTGGGAGTGGGAGAAGAAGGATTATTATTATTATCACTTACGTAGCACTACTTATTTTCTCTTTTTACTCCTGGAGGGGGCGCCTCCTTATGGGTCTGCGGGCGTCTGAAAGCGAACGTTATCTTAGTAGCTGCCCTTTTTCATTGAAAGGGCCGATCTGGAACGATTTTGGTAGTACGCGCCCATATATTGTTCCTGGTGAGAAAGGTCGTTAGATTTTATAAATAAATTTTTAATTCAATTGTATTCAAAATTATTCGTATATTTTGGAATTTTTCTTATTATTCAAAATTTCTCTTCGACATTATTCGTAAATGTTTAAAATTATTTATAAGTATTTAATTTAATATGTTCGTTATGGAAAAATTTTTTGTTTTAAAATAACTTTATTTCCACATTTATTGATCATTTTCAAATTTTTTTTCAGAAGTTCAAATATTTTGGAAGATTATTTTTTTAAGGGAAAAAAAAATTTTGATCAAATTTTCCTTAAAATTTTAAATATGTTTAGTATATATTCCTAAACAAATAAATTTTTTATAATTTTCATGTATAATAGATCTTTCAAAATGAAATCGTAAACTCTTTTTTAAAAAAAAAATATTCAAAGATTTATTCAAAAAAATATTGAAGATTTCTGAAAATAATTTTAAAGAATAATTTTATTTTTAGAATTGGATCGAATATTCAACGAATCAAATCGAATGATGTTTTGATTATTCCTACGAATATAAATAAGGAATAATTTTATTCGAAAATACCAATCGAATATGAATAATGCAAATATTCGAATCGAGTCCTACTTTCAATATACCCAAGCAGCTGGTAACATACCATTTTGGTTTCCAATATTAACTTGGTGTAAAACCAAAGTTTTTACACCAATTTTTGAGAAAAAATTATATAATTTTATAGACATAAAATTTGATCAAAACTGAGCATTGTCAAAAAAAATTATCTATATAGGGATCAAAACCTTTTGAAAATGATTTATTTTGAGCAAATTTTAAAAATCAAAATTCAGCAAACATATTTTCTAGCTTTAAATGAATTTAGCATTAATGGTAGGCTTCTATTGCAACCTACTTTAAAAATTAAAGATCAAATCTTTCAACAAATATTTAAAATAACTAAAAAATTAAGCTTCATAATTATAACCTATGATTTCAAAGTAAATTACAATTTGCTTTCCTAATCTTATATCTAATTTATTAAGAAAATGAGGACTATTTTACTATATTAATTTTAATCAACCTGCTAGACTCTTTTAATATATTAAAATAATTTCAATTTCCAAATTATTTTTTTAAATAACTTCTTTTATCATTAATCTATAAATATAAATCCCCCAAGATGGGGTTTTTTAATGACATAATTTATTTAATTTTTTAAAATATATTTTAGATGCAAAGATAGGCTTAAATGTTTATAATTATATCGATATAAGAACAAATAAATTATATTTTATTCTTATTATTTAATACAAAAATTATAAAAAATTGATATTTTTCTTCAACATCAACTTTATTATATAATAAAATCTTAATATATAAAGAAAAAAGTTTCATTTAATAATTTTTGGTCATGGGTTACTTTATTTGAATATTTACTTTATCTAAATATATTTTTAAAAACTTCGGCCACCTCCTTATAAGTGCGAGCAAATTGAGCGTTTGTGTTTTGCCTTACTTAATTTAAAAATCAGCTGCCTTTTCATTTTAGAAATATATTCGATATTATCATCTTTTATTTCAATTATTCCGGGTCTGCAGGTCTCTGATAAATACTATCCTGTAACAAATCTGTTGGCCAGCAGCAATAAATTTTAATGAGTAAGGGTTTGGAAGACCCAGAAGCATGAAGGTTGCTAAAATAGTAATAAAAAAAATAGGTTATTCAATTAATATACAAAATGATAAAAATTTGTGAAGAATAAAAATATTAAAAGGAGAATAGAAAATAATATCAAAACTATATATTTAAATTTCAAAAAACCACATATAGAGGAATTAAAGAGATCATTTAGTAAATACTTAAGACTAGAGAAATTATTTTTTACAAAATATAATTTGAAGAAAAATTACTATATCAAGACGCTTTTTAAATTAAAAAACAAAGATGTTAAATTTAAACTTTAAAATAAAGAATATTTTAAACCTCGTGGAAATCATTATTAATATATATCTAAATAAAAATCGATATACATACATAAAAATTATATAAAACGCAAAATATAAAAATAAATTTAAACACCAAACTAAAAACGCGAATCACATATCAATTATTCTATTATTCCAATTTTATGATTCTTATTCAATAATTCCTATTCAATTCAATATTCTACTAATACATTCTATCATCCAATTCCATTATTCTTATTTGACATTCGACAAATTATTCTATTCTAAACGATGAATTAATGATAACGATTTGAAGAGAACGGGATCGAGGATAGAAGAGATAGGAGAACGTACAAAAACAACAAAGATTGGAAGCGAGTTTCACGACGACTGCGAGGAACACAGAAAGTTCGAAGAAAGAACAGAAGGGGCAATGTTGATATGTTTGAATTATATTAACTATTAGATTAATATTATGTTAAGTGAAAGAAATAATATAACAAGTCCGAAAGGTAAAATTTAAGTTAGAGTTGGCAAACTTCAAAAAAATGTAGGATCCTTGTGACTAGATATAGAATTATATTTAAATAATAAAAATATAGTAGATATAGAATTATATTTAAATAATAAAAATATAGTAGATATAGAATTATATTTAAATAATAAAAATATAGTACATCTAATAGTTACATAGATTGTTATTTACTTTTGAAAAGTATATGTAAAGAATTTATTAGATTAATGTTGTAGTTTTGTATTTTTGTTATATATTTATATATATATATAATTATATATATGCAATGTCAATCAAAAGTGATCTTTTGAATTTGAGTTTTGTTTTTTTAGAGGATTAATGCAAAAAAGAAGATCAGATGTTCTTTTGTTGATGTTATTGGATGTTGTTTGTTTGTATATGTATTTTTGTGTAATAAAAATTCTTTAGATTTTAATATTATTCTTTTAGACTTAAATAGTTAATAGTAAGTTAGTTATTGTCGTATTTTTATATATATATTAATATATTAATATTAGGTAAGCCAATCAACCGATGTAAATAAGGTTGATTGGATAATAATAAAATTTGAATAACACGTGATGTTTTTATATATATTTTTTAAAAAGCAAAGTTGTAAAGAACGCCATTAAAAAAAGTTTTGATGTAAAATTATTAAAAAATTTTGGATTATTATAAACTCGAAAAATCAATAAATATCATTTTCTCTTATGAATTGTGAAATCCTATTTTGCAAAATATAAAATAAAAGGTGTTTGTTTAGAAATAAAAGAAAAATCAATACAATACAATTTAGTGTAGATTGCAGATTAAGTATTAAGGGTTGAAAATAAGGGTTGTAAGTAGTGTTGTTAAAAAGTCGAGTTCACCCGACTACGACTCCGAGTTGAAGTCGCAATAACTAGACTCAAAACTCAAGTCGAGTTTTGAGTCGATTAGTCGACTCATTTTTACGACTCGAGTTCCGGACTTGAGTTCTGAACTTGAGTTTTGATCTTGAGTCATGAACTCGAATTATGAACTTGAGTCGTGAACTAGTCATAAACTTGAGTCGTGAACTAGTCATAAACTTGAGTCGTGAACTAGTCATAAACTTGAGTCGTGAACTCAATAGGTTATCTTAAATTTTATGAAACTCGATTACTTATATTAGTATTGTTAATTGGTTGGTTGTGTAATACCCAGACCTGGCGCTTGGTTCTAAAATTAGACTAAATCTGCTATGAGCACGAGGTCCATGTATCTTAAGTTATTTCTTATTGAACTTATTAGTTAAATATATGGTTATTACAGATAAATCGATAGATAATTAAAAGACCTATTGAATATGCAACAATTCAAGCGCCACTTTTCTATGAGTGAAGCTATTTCTACGTAATCGGAAATTTTAATAACATGAATAGAAAAAATAATTCCTAAAATTATATTTTGAAATAAAGAGGTTGCTCATAGCATAAACTCCTTCCTATTCCTATATTTATGAACTATTATTTTCCTGATTTTATTTTATTTAAAATCATAAAAAATATAATTTTATTTTTATAAAAATATTAAATAATAAAATAAATGAAACAATGAATTTGTTGATCCAAAATTTTTATTTATTTATTCGATTTTTTCATTGTAATTATAAAATTTAACTCATACATATGATTTATAAAGATTTAAATAAATAAAATAAAAATATTTCAAAGCGGAGTTGAAAAAATAAAATAAATAAAACAATGAATTAGATGCAAAATAAATTTAAAAATCCCCCACTTCTTAATTAGGTGCCAGATAGGCGATTTGGTTTTTTATTTTATTATAAATTAATTTCTTTTTTTTTATTTAAGATTTTTTGCAATATTAAAAAATTTTTTATAAAAAAATGTATAATATTGCCTACAAATTTTTAAAGGA